TCAAATTCTGATTATAATTCAACCCTGTGAGTTTTCTTAGAATCCCTGCAGTGTGGAAACAGGCCATTTGGCCCAACAAGTCAACAGCAACTCTGTGAAGAGCATTCCACCCAGACTCACCACCCTATCCTATTCCTGTATTTCCCCTGCCTAACCCAGCAACTGTGGACAATATAGCACAGCCAGTCCACTGAATCTGCACATCCTTGGACTGTGGGAGGAAACCAGAGCACCCAGAGGAAACCCACACAGACATGGGGAGAATGTGCAAACTCCACACAGACAGTCACCCAAGGCTGGAGTTGAACCTGGGTCCCTGGCACTGTGAGGCATCATTGCTAACCACTGAGCCACCATGCCACCTCACATGTATGGCAAACTTATATGCATCTTCCAGAACAAAAGTTGGTCCTGGAGGATCATTGGAAACAATTCTGCTTATAACAAGTACACTGATATCGTTTTGCCAAAAATTAGTTTCTTCACGAAATCACCTCTTTGCAATAGGCATTGTCTTAGTGTATTTCAGATCTGATCAACATAATTTGTTCCCCTCTGAAAATGCCAAATAAACTAATATTAATAGGATTAAATACAGTCTTGCTAACATTTTGTACTTTAGCATATAGAATGTTCCTTTTGCTGTCAGCAATATGAAGCACAGTATCATACAATCAGAAAATGTGTGGTAAAGCACAATTCCAAATGTCATAGTCCTTTATGTAAATTGTATTTACATCCTTTAATGTCAAACTGCTGAATATGGTTGACACGGGTTAAAGAACAGATTGGGTTTGGTAACTTTCAAAAGATCCTAATCATTCAAAACATGGCTTGAAATGCAATCATATGCAAATATCTGTCTTGGTCTGCCACAGTCCTGTCTAAATAACCATGAGGCATACATAATCTAGACACTTGTCTGAAGCTTCACATCAGTTAAGTACCCATGTTGCACACACTGGTGTGCTATGCAGTTAACATGGGTCTGGAATTTTCAAGGAATGGCAATTTCATACAGATTGTCACTCCATCCCCTTTCTGAAAGGAGCGGACTCTGCAATTTTGATATGAGAGTCTGATCAGGGGTCCTTCAGAAATGCAGACCTATACTTTCCTTCTGCCAGTTCTTTTCAGGAGCTATCCAGGAGGCAAAACAAGTGTAATATTTCTTACAGCAGAAATTTCAAAATCTTTGAAAACACACTTTCAGCCTCACATAAATATTATTTACAAACTGTACACTGTGACCTTCACAGATCTGTGAAAAAAATGACTCAACAAGCAATCCAAAAATGAAGTCCTCAAAAGTAAGGTTAAGGCTATATGGTGGCACCATATTTTGTGCTGAGAGGACAGATTATTATGCGAGCTCAATGCAATAACATGATCAAAGATCTGGAGTTGCCCAGATCATTGATAGCAAGCACATGCCACCCATCTCAGCTAGAACAAGTCTAAGGTTTGGACTTGTAACTGTCAACATATGAAAAGAGATTTGGAAAGTGTTGCAGCACAAGAAACCATTGACCATGGAGCACACTCTAGATGAGTACAAAGATGTCCTCATAAGTTATGTCTTCCAGGAGAATATCATCTCACAGTAGTTGAGAATGCAAGACCAATTCAGCATTTGCTGACGAAAGTTCTACCTGCCCTCAAGGCCAGCTTGAAAGTCAAGAAAGAAAAGAAGGGAATAATCAAGAAAGTGGCAATTCCTAGAGAATGGATTAGCAGAATCATAGCAACCAAACTGACTGGAAAGCTAACAGTATGCATTGACTCAAAGGAACTAAATGTAGCCCTTAAGAGATCTCACTACACTGTGCCAACAATTGAAGGACTTAGATAATGTTTGCATGTGACATATATGCAAGCGAAGCAGATGTAAATACTGTCAGGAGTAGCACTCCCAATGAAGAAAATGGAAGATGATATAACAGAGTATGAATCCTTACAGATTCAATATGAAACAACAGCTCATTATGCTCTGGAAGTCATCAAACCAGCAGAGGCACTGAAACAACATCACACAGATGAACAGCTAATGCCAATACATGCACATATTTCATTAGGAGACCAGCATGATTTAAGGCCATTGGGCTGAATCTTGTGATTTGTTTTGGCTAAGTGTCAGTTTCATCGGATTTTTGTTTGGAACGTTTCTTGCTTCAAGGACCTAGCAAGATCTATTACCATATCTTACCAAACATACCTCATTAACAACCGAGGCAGCTATATTTCTAGCCCCATCCCAGATGAATTTGCTACTGAGCAAATATCCCAGAATTGACTGACAGTCTGCGATAGGACAGAAAGATTCAATGCAGGTGGTGGACTGCCCGACATGCAGCTCCTCACCCTTTACAAAGAGATCCTGGCTATGACTGCCCAGAGCAGCTGACTGACCATGTCCAATTCCCTAGATTGGTATAGGAGGCTGCCTTTACTTATTGTGGCAGGACACCCTTACTGAAGCCTATCCCCGTTGACTTGATTGATGCCTGCTCACAACTATGACAAGCATCCTGGCTTTGTGCCTGCACTAAACAGAGTAGCAATACAGCACTACTGTGAGGCTGATATCTCTGACTGAGGGGACAAAGTGCAAAGAGGTAAGGCAATGCAAGGCAGGGATGCTGTGAGCATCTAAGTAGGTTCTAAGTGAGTGAACACTGACAGCAAGCAAACACCTGTAGATGCAGTCTGGTCCAGTCCCTGAGCTGGCTGTATGTCCCTAAGTGTTGCTGAACATTATTGTTGCAGCATTACAATAGTTATTGCTGTTTCACCCAAGATTCAGCATTGAAGTGCGGAAGCATCCTGTAATTGGACTGGTGATGTGCAATGAGGGCTCTTAGAGGTTGGCATATGTTGGATGCGAAAGCCTGCAGATGTAGGATGCATGTGGCTGGTGCCCATTGAACGTGTCCTGAATTTTAAGTGCCTGTTGTCCAACATGAAGACACTTTGGAGTAGTTGATGAGCTGAGTTTGCCAAGTGCCCACTCTGATTTCCATGTTGAGAACTCTTGCCGTCAAGTTTGTGCATGGCAGGAGGTAGGATGGGGAGCTGCACATTAATGAGGCAAGATAAGGACATTAACATGCAATAGTTCCCATTAATAGGCTCCATAGTGAGAATCTCATTTTGACGCCTGGAACCTAGTTAAAATATGCAGAGAGTTGCCTCTAACATCAAGATATGCCTCGCTGGACTTATTGCACAATTCTGCTACATATCTTGCCATAGCCAGATTGTTCAGGCCCAAATACACAGACTGATGGAAGTAACGAACTGCTAAGGCATAAGAACATTGTATGTAGTTGCTGACTTGGGCAACTAAGAATGTACATGATAATGTGATGGAGGATTTTGCAAAGATCAAGTCTTCATATCCAAGTAGATTGGAACAAGGCCACTTTATTCAAGCTTGTACCATGTGTGGTATGTGGTAGAGGTCAAGCTCAGAGACACTCAGCTGTCTACAGATCAAAATATCATTTTCATAGTTTATTTTGTCATGATGGTTACATGCAATGTTTTTCTAGAATAAACTATGTGTCCCTTTTCTTTGTATTGCAAAACCAGCTTGTAGTTTCATACCTTGTGTATCCTGGGTTTCTCAATCTCTGTAGTTTGCAACCTATAATTTTGTCAGAATTTCTGCTTCTGTGTCACTTTCAAGGCTTATGTGTCCTCATCACCTATCTACTGCACCCAAACCTCTCCTCGTGAGATATTGCTCAATTATCTTGAGCAGTACAGATGCCTTTGGACCCTAAGTAACTGCTGATTATTTCCTTTTATGGCCATGTAGTTAAACTGCATATTCAAACTTATCTTCTGCTGTATGCAACATTAAAAGAACACTGCTCCTTCCCTTGCACCTTCCCAATTATGCTTTCCAAACCTCCTTAATTTTCTTCATAACGCATCCCTTTATTCCTCTTTCATGTAAAAAAAGATTGAAATGCAATCACGTACAAATGTCTATCCTAGTCTGCTGTAGTCATGTGATTTTGCCCATGAGGGACACACCCTGTAAGCAGAAATCATAAACTTCTCATCAAAAACGTCTTTGTGTTGCTGTGTTGTACACTCTAACAAGATTGTATTGATTAAGTTTTCTAACATATTAAAAAGTTAGCACCTCAATGTCCTCAAGGAAAAAAAATTCAGCTTGATATATATGTCATTTTTATCTAACCTCTTTTCCAAACCATGTCATCTTTCATTTCTGATTATTGGTCAGTGTTTTATAAAGGCACAGATGTTTCATGGTCAACCTGTAATATATATCACTTGTGTGGGCTCATCAGATACTGACTTAGCCCCATTTCCGACCTGCTAACCAGTGGATAGGTAAAATCTTCATGTCTATCATTTTACTAAGTAGGGTTTGAATTTGATAATTTTACTAAACATGAACAAACCCTAATTTTTACACATTGATCCAGATGTTCATTTTGGCATTTAAAGGAATGTGCCATTGTTTGTAACTCTCTGGCCTAGCAGTGGATGCAACAGGAGATTTGAGCTTTGTAAACACATCATTTGTTAAATGCTTGGAGGAACATTTCCTTTGTGCTGATATACTCATTATGCAATTTGGTTTATATCAAAGGAACAACTCAACTTACAAAGTGAATCTGTCAGTTTCCCTAATCTTTGGAATAAATAATTAGTAGTTTACTCTCATAGAATCATAATGTCCTTTTTAAAATATTTGTGAGATGTCCATTTGACTCTGAGAAAATGATGCAATGAGAAATATCAGAGTAATAGTAAGAGTAAGATATATTTTTTGGGCTTGCCATGGTTTAGATCTTATGAGATTCCTTCTCCCCCTTTTCTAGAAGTCAGACTTAAAATCCAATTGAGAAGTATTGCTCTGCAAAAAAAAAATAAGATATGTACTTGGGCATGTGAAAATGCATTTGATAATAATAGGTCTTTTCCCACTTTGTTCTTCCTTTCCTCATTGCTGCTTCTTGAAGTGGATGAGAGCCAGGTGGACCTCAGACCCGTGTTATGCTTATTATGGTGTTGACGGCACGGACTGCTCTTTTCTGTTGTATCTTAGTGAAAAAGAGTGGTTCTGTCCCCCGTTACCATGGAAGAATCGTACTGCTTTCCTCCCCAGGACTGAAACAAAAGTGCAGGTATGTTGATGCTTTGTCATTAAAATACCATTAGTACATTTAATACAAAGGGAGTAGCCAAAGTTTATTGAAATACCTGAAATGTTTGTGATTAAAGACATATTGTCTGTTCTGAATGAACTGAATGAGCAGTTAAATGGTAAATATTTTCTGGTATTTGCTATCTCTGTTCCAACAGAACCTGCTATGGCCCTATCTCCCTTACAAATATTGTCTGAATTTATTTAATCCCGATGTTGTATTGAGTTAGTTTCTACATCTGTAAATACAGATTTCTGTCATTTGTATTTTATGTGCAGAAGTGGCTGTCAATTAACAGAGGATGAATTCTGATGGCATTATCATTAATAATGCTCAGTGAGTCTTGCAAGCTCACTATCTTCTATAAAGCAGAAATAATGAAATACTACCAATCCTATCACACCATGAAGTTAGTAATACCCTTAGTTCCAGGTCACAAAGAAATGACAGAGAGATTAACATTTGTAAGAAATATTTTTAATCAAAATTCACTGCTACATATCACAGATGAGAAAATATCACTAGAAACTTTGAGTTGTAATCCATTGTCTTAAGTTTAAGCTAAAACCTAGCTTTTATATTTGTTATCATCTAAATCTTCAATTTTGATTTCACGTAAGTTTCTATTATCTTCTCTATAGTGACAGTCCATTTTGCATCATGATGGTCCAAGTACCACTCAGTGAGAAATTAAGAAATATTGTCAGGCTTATTTATTTTTGATACCAAAGTTTTATGTGTTTCAGTGCAACAGCAAAAACTTGGACTGTTTAAAAATGTAAGAAACCTGCTCTCAGCCAAGCTTATAGGAAAACATGCTATCTCAAGTAACCTTGGTGTGCAGCTACTCATCTTCTTCATCTCAAGAAAGATTGTTTACAAAGATTTACTCAGAGGAATTGACACAATGGCGTCTGGCCACTGGATTAATGCACATTGAACAGTCAGGCCTCATAATAATGTGTGCAGATGTCTGATGCCTACTGTTCTTGCAATATGAGCTGAATAGAATATGCGCATGGCTCATTGCAATTTACTCATTTATTACAATGACGGGTTGTCTTCATAAATCATTTTGGAGTGGAAGAGTCAGTCCTGATTAGCTGAATGTCTGAACAAACAAGTACTGGAGGGAAGGCCTGTTCCTTTCAGTTAGGCCAACTTTATAGCAGATACAACTCTCTCATTGCTGTCACTCCTCATTTGATTGGTTATGCACAAGCTCTTTTGATCTTCATGTTCAAAGGAAGTCATTGAAATTTAATAGAATCCTCATGGATTCTTAAACAGTGGTACAACATCTATTATCAGTGGGTGTAAAGCTGTATGTATTAGCAAGCTCATTTGGGTCCCAGCTATGAATGTTCCTCTGAGTATATTTCTCTATTTTCATGTTCTGGAGGGGAAGGAGATTCAAAGCAAGCATATATGACAGTTGAAAATATACATTAGATGTTTCATTGGAGAACAGCCTTACACTCTAACCTGCATAGGCCAGAGTCACTTAACTTAAACTGTCTGAATAAAACAGCCTACCTGTGCTAATTTAGATTGCTGGATGAACCTAATCAGTGAACTGTGCAAAGTCTTGCAGTCAGTCACTGAACCAGTTTAAGCACAGAGAAGGGATCCACTTTTCACTTTCCCTTTGCCAATGGGTCCGGTAGATTCAGGTTTCAGGGTGCTACAGGGGAGTGCAGCCCCATCTCCCACTCCAACCCATTCAGCCTTTCCCCCATTCTGATTTCCGAAGATCTGGGAAAAGGCTTTCCACTGGAATAACCCCATTCTCGGCATGGATTGTCCTCAGAACTGAGACAGCGGAGCAGTGTCCCCAGGACTGCTTGAAATTGGTGGACTGGTCTGTATTCAATTATTCAGTGGAAAACCTGGACAAGTATGCCACCACTGTCACAGATTTCATTAGCAAATAGGTGGAGGACTGCATGTCAAAGAAGTCAATCCAAGTGTCCCCCAATCAGAAACCTTGGATAAACCGGAAACCCCACTGCCTACTGAAGACCAGGCGTGCAGCATTCAAGTCAGACAACCCAGACCTATATGGAAAGTCCAGATATGACCTCCACAAAGCCATCAGAGATGGCAAGAGGCAGTATTGGACCAACTGAGAGGTGCAAACCAACCATTTGGAGACCGCCCAGTCTGTGGCAAGGCCTAAACAACCTAACAGGATACAAAATGAAACAGAGCAAGTTAGTGAACAAAAACACATCCCTTTCTGATGCTTCAGTGTTCTCCATGCTTGGTTCGAGCAGAATGCCAGCAGCATGGTTTCACTTGCTCTGACAGCACCAGATACACTTGCTCCCTCTGTAACTGCTGCAGCTGTCAGATCAGTCTTCCTAAGAGTCAACCCAAGGAAAGCAATGGGCCTGGATGAAGTCCCCGGCCATGCACTTAGATCCTGTGCCAACCAGCTGCTGAGGCATTCACTGACATCTTCAACCTCTCCCTCCTACAAGCCAAAGTCCCCGCCTGCTTCAAGAAGACCACCATCATCCCAGTACCTAAGAAAGTACATGCAATGTGCCTTAATGACTAACGCCCAGTGGCTCTGACCTACATAATCTTGAAGTGCTTTGAGAGGCTGGGCATGGCCCATTTCAACTCGAACCTCCCAGCTTGCCTCAATTCCCTACAGTTTGCCTACCGGCGTAGTAGGTCCACAGTGGATGCCATTTCCCTAGCCTTGCATTCATTCCTGGAACATCTGGACAACAAGGTCACCTATATCAGGCTCCTACTCATCGACCACCGCTCCACTTCAACACCATTATCCCCTCTAGACTAATCTCAAAGCTCCAAGACCTATGTCTCAGCTCTGCCCTCTGCAACCAGATCCTCAGCTTCCTGACCAATAGACCGTAATCAGTGAAGATAGACAACTGCACCTCCGCCACAATAACCCTCAACACTGGAGGCCCCCAAGGATGCGTTCTCAGCCCCCTACTGTACTCCCTGCACACCCACAACTGTGTAGCCAAATTATGAATGAATGTCATCTACAAGTTTCCTGATGACACCACAGTGGTAAGATGGATATCAAACAATGATGAGTCAGAATACAGTAAGGAGACAGAGGGCTTGGAGTCATGGTTCAAAGATAAAAACTTCTTGCTCAATGTTGTTAGAACAAAACAACTGATCATTACTTTCAGAAAGAAAGGAGAACACGCCCCTATCTACATGAATAGAACAGAGGTTGCACAGGTTGAGAGTGTCAAGTTCCTATGAGTGACTATGACCGACAATCTCTTCTAGACTTCCCACATAGATACGATGGTCAAGAAGGTACAACAATGCCTCCTCTTCCTCAGGCAGCTTAGAAAATTCAGTATGTCCATAAGGACCCTCACCAACTTTTACAGATGCACCATAGAAAACATACTGTCTGGGTGCGTAACGGCTGTTATGGCAACTGCTCTGCCCCGGACTGTAAGAGACTACAGAAGGTTGTGTGCACAGCCCAGACCATCATGGAAACCAACTTCCCATCCATGGACTCCATTTACACAGCTCGCTGCCATGGAAAGGCTGCCAAAATCATCAAAGACCCCTCCCACCACAGTAATGCTCTCCTACAACCTCTTCTGTCAAACAGAAGATACAGAAGCTTGAACACACAAGCCAGCAGGTTCAAGAACAGCTTCTTCACCACCATTATTAGACTGATTAATGGACACTCTAACTTCAAAAATGTTGATCTTGTTCCTGTTGATCTTGCTTTGCATACCTCCTGTGCACCCATAACCTTGTATGCCTCACTCTGTCAAAGCACCCTATGATCTGTTTGTCCTTGCTTACTATGATCTGCCTGTACTGCTCACAAACAGAGTTTTTCACAATACTTGGGTACACGTGACTACAATAAATCAAATCAAATCAAATCAAGGATGTTATCTGTCAGGTTTAACACAGTGTGGAGCTGGAGGAACACAGCAGGCCAGGCAGCATCAGAGGAACAGGAAAGCTGACATTTCAGGTCGGGACCCTTCTTCAGAAATG